ATCTAATGACTCTTCTAATAGTTTTCCCCACAGTAATTTCCCTTAATGGCCTAGATGGAACAGCAAAACGTAACAGTACTGAAAGAATTCATTCTCATGGGAATCACAGACCGCCCTGAGCTGCAGGCCCCCTTCTTCGGGGTGTTCCTTGTCATTTATGCAGTCTCAGTGGTGGGCAACTTGGGCTTGATTATTCTCAGCAAGGTGGACTCCAGGCTGCAAACACCCATGTACTTCTTCCTCACACACCTGGCATTTACTGATCTTGGTTATTCGACTGCTGTAGGACCAAAAATGCTAGTAACTTTGGTGGTAGATCAACATACAATCTCCTATAATTGGTGTGCTACCCAACTCTCTTTCTTCAGTATGTTTATTACTAGCGAAATTTTCCTTCTGTCAGCAATGGCTTTTGACCGTTATGTGGCCATCTGCAACCCTCTGCTCTACACAGTCATCATGTCACCAGGAGTATGCTGGGTGCTGGTAGCAGTCCCTTATGTCTGCAGTGCCTTTCTCTCTCTGATAACCACCATAAAGATTTCTATTTCATCCTTCTGTGGCTACAATGTCATTCGTCATTTCTACTGTGGCAGCCTTCCCTTGTTAACTTTGCTGTGTTCAAGCACACGTGAAATTGAGTTGATAATACTGATCTTTTCAGAATTCAATTTGGTTTCGTCTCTTTCGATAGTCCTTGTGTCTTACGTGCTGATCCTTCTTGCCATCTTCAGGATGCACTCTGCAGAGGGTAGGCACAAGGCCTTCTCCACCTGTGGATCGCACCTAACAGTGGTGGTCCTATACTATGGTACTCTCTTCTTTATGTACACACAGCCCAAGTCCAAATATTCATCTGATACTGATAGAATCGCCTCTTTATTTTACACTTTGGTGATACCCATGCTGAATCCCATGATCTACAGTTTGAGGAACAAAGTGGTGAAAAATGCCCTGACTAGAACCTGGAACATGTGTGCCAATATCCTACTGAAAATTCATTGTAAGGTATGCTAGCAAGAGATTATGTGTTAGTCAATGTATATTATAACTGGATTGTTTAACCATGTGCTTTCACCTCCTTGAATGAGCCAGATTCAATGTGATAAGTACAGAAATAAAGAAAATCATTCATCATTTTCATACATAATGTATCACTAACAGATGTGTACACTCTGATCCTACTTTATAGTAATTTTTGCTCTCAAGTTTTGATAAGGTGCCATTCTTACATATTCTCACATGTAGTCTATTTGCTGCCATTAAATATTTATTTTTATAATGCCAGCCTGTATATTACATTCACAATTATATCCGTAGTACTTAACATGGTAAAAGGACAATAAAAATGATTCCCGATCGATTTTATACAAGTGTATTTATCGAGGAAATAAACATGGATTCTTAAGTTAACAACCCAAATCTCTCCCTTTATGGAGCTTAAAGAAAACACAAAATACAGACAGAATGAGAAGTGGGCTATATAGCATGATAGATGGTATTGAGCAATATGAAAATGAAATAAAGCAAATAACCTGAACGAAGTTCAAATTTTAGCTAAATTGTCATTGAGACCTTTGTGAAGATGACATTTAAATGAACACTTCAGAAGGATAGTGAGTGCACTATATGGGCATGTAAAGAAAGAGACCTAGGCTTTGCTGCTTCACAGAGAGAGAACTGTCAATGAAATAGTTCTTAAGTGACGATATCAATGTTATGTTAAGGAACATCAGAGTCAAAGACGGTCGGAGCATAAAATATAATTAGGAATTAGAGGAGATAAGGATAGACTTGTAACAGATTTGACCCAGTAGGACCATATAGACTATCTATAAAAAGCTTGCCCTTTCTTCTGATTGATAAAAGAACCCTTGGAGGATTTAGAGTGAAGGAGTGATTTAATGTATCTTTCATTAAATAACGGCTCTGACTGCTATGCAAATAATAGACTATAGGATACCAAGACTTGGAAATGGGAAATCCTGCAGGAGTTTATTCGTGATAATTTGGGAGAGAACAGAGGCTTAAGCCAGCATGAAAGTCAGAGAATGAGAAATGATTAGAGCCTTGGCATATTTGTAAGAAGAGGTCAATAACATTCTTCATATTTATGTGGTTTGTTAGAAGCTTGAAAAAAAAGATTAATAATTAAAAGAAAATAGAAAAATGAGTTCCAGAGCTCATCTAAAAGCATGTGGAAAACTCTTTCTGCTTCCAACTTATATGGTGTAATAGAGACCGAATTTAATGTAAGAAAGAAGAAAAATACAACAAAACATAAAGATATAAGAAACAACAGTTTTCAAAATATTGACATCAGATGATGAAGGACAGTTTCCCTGAGAGATGAGGAACAAATGAGGTGACTCCTATGATTGCCCATCCTTCCTGGTCTAAGAGAGATTCCAGGCTGCACTGCCATGTGGGCAAACTTACGTGAAACCTAGAAGAATTCTGTTGAAGAGTCAGAGTTGAGAGTCCAGTGAGATCAAGGTAGCTTGAGTTGCAAGACAGAGTAGTAAAGATAAGGAGCTTCATAGAGAAAGGAAAGTGGATCTCTGCAAGGAATCTTTCTCAGTTGCTCCACAGAACTACTGATCAGCACAGGCAACTGGTAAACAAACACCTAAGACTAAAGAGAAAAAAATTCGCCTAAAAGGATTAAAGACAGCTGTGCCCAGAACTCAAACAGAAGCAAGAATTGTGCCAATTTGTTGCACAGAGAGTAGAAAAAAATCATAATTCATTAAGGTCTACTCCAGTGGAGGAGAATAATTAACCCTAAAGTGAGCATTGGTCTGTATCCATCTACGAAATGATAAAAGCAAAATCTGAAATCACACACACACACATACACACACACACACACACACACACACACACACACACACACCCCTCAGTCTTTGCTCCTAAAGGCTCTCAAATATTGGACAAGGCCCACCCACATTTTGGAATATAACTGGCTGTAATCAAATGCATTGATTAAAATGTTAACTTTGTCTTTAAAAAAATCTTCACAGCAACATCTAGACAGAGCTTTGACTAAAGAACTAGGCACCATAACCTAGCCATTGGGCACAAAAATTAAGCATCAAAGCAGAAAAAAAAAAAAGAAATAAAGTTAATCAAGTGTAAAAAATAAGAACGTTATACAAAACAAAGACCTCGTTTTAAGTTAATTATCTCTACAAAGACCTCGTCACCAAATATAGTCACATTCCAAGGTACAGGGA